TCTCGATAAGCCCCGCCCTCACGCCGGCACGGCGGAGGCTGCGGCGGCTCGACGCCGCCGGAAAGGAGACGGAGGCCGAGAAATCGGAGACGTGGGTCTTGCTGTGGAGAGGCTGAGAGAGGAAAGGGGTTTTGCTGAAGACGGCAGCCATGGAAGCCATAGAAGGATCTCTTTGAGAGGATAAAGAGAACAGAGTGGAATGCGAAAAGGGACCCTTCTCTGGCTGCTTCAAGCTCCTCTAACGGAGATTCGTCTTCGAGTGAATATGATATCGAAAACTTTGTGTTTTCGATTCGATTTCGCTAGGGAACGTATCGTGTTTGTTCTGCTTTTATAGAAATGAATGACTGTTCATATGGATGAACCTGGACGCTTTTGTTCTGAATTCGTAACACCATCATTTTATTTTGTAAAATGGTAAATAATAATAATGATTAATTAGGATAAAGTTTTAGCTTTTTGGTGTGATATAAATATTTTTGGTTGCTTGTATAAATATATCATATTATTTTATTTAATCGATCAGAATATAATTCTTACATTATGGATATCAGATCGTTATTGATCAAAATATCTAATTGATCTGCATATTTATTCTACAAAAAAAAATATTAAACCAGAGCCTATCAGTTTTGACCATACGTTAAAATGGACCAAATCTTGACTCCCAATTGAGAAGATTGACCCTTTTTATAATCGACATATAAAAAAAACGAAAATATAAAAAGATAAAAGTGAGAAAACATTTTATTTAAAATATTGAATGACGGTAATACCCCTTCTCACGTGGAAAATATTGTGTGAAGTTGGTAGGCTGGTAGCTCCCTCCCTCCCTCCGCCTCAGCTGCCCAATTTTATTTTACTTTTCTATTGTTTTCTTATTATAAAAATATTATTCCAAAGTTTGTAGCATCCACGAATTATCCATTAAAATGTGTAGAATTCAACTTATCAACGTCTCCAACCATATGATCTTAATACCAAATTCTATATTATATATCGCTATTTATATTTTGGTTCATATTACGAAAACTCGAGTGTATTTTCATTTATACAAATTTATAAAAAGATCATTTTAAAATAAAATTTTAAAAAAGCTGGATTCGACTTCTGGGGCAAAAATTGGCTTGATCAATTTTCTTGGTGGCTCAAATTCAACATGTGCCCAATAAAAAAACATATAAAATATCAACCTACCTGTTTTCCTCTATTTTTTTTATTTTATTACACAAGTAAATACTTTTGTTTATCTTTTTAGTTGCTATTTCATATTTTTTTCAATCTTTTTCTATTTTATATATTTTTAATCTTTTTAAATTTTTTAAGGTAGAACCAATGTTTGAAACTTAAATTCGCAGGAAAAAAAAATCGTTATTTTCCAAATTCCAAAATATTAAAATTTCAGAAGGCCACCGTGATTATTCATGGCCCACATCTAAAATTAATTAGAGCCCATATAAATGGGCTTTTAGACA